TTGATTGTAACCCGTGATCTTTTGAAATTGCAACTATATGGAAGTTCATAGAGACAGTAAATGCATGTGCGCCAGGTGAAGCTGGGCATTATGTGATGTTTAACCCATGCTTCAGGTAATGTGTTAATGATGGGTATAACTAGTGATCTTTTGCTTGAGGCTCATGCAGTAAGTGTAACTAAGTATGTATTTCCCAAGTGTATGTAACACACTGTTCAGATGAACTTTGAAGTTATAGACATTAACTGATTGATAAGATACAAAGATTGTTTAAAATGTGACAAGGTAATCATTTGCTGCACATGGAAGTACAAAGGTTTATATCAAGCAAAATGCTTGTAACAGAAAATTCCCCCATGGCAAAAACATTGCTAAATAGTTATAAATCTTAACTTGAATCTCCTAGTACTTTCTCATTTTTTGACTTTTAACTGTGGCGTGCACCGAAAATCAGCTGTCGTGCCATTTTTGATGAATGTGAGGATTCTGCATCATTATTATCTTGGTTGACCCATTAACCTAGGGGGATGTCGTTGGTATGATATTGACTCATCTCTGGTTTGCTTCTCACAGGGAGCTTTACAGTAATAACATAAGTGGTTCAATACCGAGTGATCTTGGAAATTTGACTAATCTGGTCAGCTTGGATCTCTACTTGAACAGCTTCAGCGGCCCCATCCCAGATTCTTTGGGCAAGCTGACGAAATTGAGATTCCTGTATGTACTTTTATCCTACTTTAAATTTCTGTGGATATTGTGATGCCAAATGTCTATGTATTAAATCAACTATCCACTATCCAGCCTCAAGATGGATCACATATGATCTACTCTTGCCGGCATGTAGAGAAAAGGAAAGAAAGTCGGATATTTTTCTTAGGTTTCACATAACCTCTATTAGTATTAGGTTTCACGCTAAGCTTTGATGGTAGAAGGTAATTGAGGACCACATGGACCTGATATCATTCAAATTAAACAGATGTTGTATATATGGTCGTTTTATTTTCTGCCTTTGTTGTAATACTTATCTAAAGGAAAAGAAGTCTAGAGGCCTACGCTTCCTCTGATATTAGAGATCTATATGGGCCTGATATTATTAAATTAAGCAGCTTTTAGTCGTAGATGTTTTATTTTCTCTGTTTATTGTGATCCTTTTCTAAAGGAGATTTTAAGTTAGGAAGCCTATGCTTCATAATGCATCTTCCACTGCTCAAGTTTCTCTTGCTTAATGCTCCACAAACTTTTCTTTCTGGACTGCCTAAGAAGTATTCCAAGTTGGAGTTGTTATGCAGACTCAGCTCGTAACCTCAATAACTGCATTTTGGGACTGGCTATAGAACTATTGCAGTATCGCCAATGATGGCTGATATAATTTAGTCAAAAGGTGTTTGTTTGTCAGGGGGAAAACATTTGAGGTTTTCTGTTATGGTTCTGAGCTGAGAACTTCATTTCCAGCTGAACTTGATTTTGGTGTCAGCCTTCACTTCTGTTTTATTCTCCAATTATTTTACTATAGCAAAAATAAGCTCATTCCTGTATACCTTTGTATCTTTTGGCAAGGGTAGTCGGCTCAATAACAACAGTTTGACTGGTTCCATCCCGATGTCACTGACTAATATCTCATCACTTCAAGTGTTGTAAGTACACTAGCTCTTCTGTGGCTATTACTCAGTCAATCTCTCTGCTTTTTCTTTTCATTCATCGACCTTTCCTTCCACTGCATATACTCATGCTCTTTTCTTGTCTCATCTGTGTACAGGGACCTGTCAAACAATCGTCTTTCGGGTGCTGTTCCAGATAATGGTTCTTTCTCTCTATTCACGCCTATCAGGTATATTCCATAAAGGTGGTTCAGTATCCAATTGACTGGTGGTTTCAAAATTTTGCTATTTGCTAACATAGTTCACTTGAATTTACAGTTTTGCAAATAATTTAGATCTTTGTGGGCCTGTAACTGGACGCCCTTGCCCGGGATCTCCTCCATTCTCTCCTCCCCCTCCATTTGTTCCACCACCACCAATTTCTGCTCCAGGTAATTCTCTAATGGTGTCGGGATAAATGTTTTCATTTTTTTGGCTTGCTCGAGTGTGGTGATTTCACTTATAGTTTATCCATCTTACCCCTCTTAGTTTTCCTAATCCACGTTAGAATTTGTGCTATAACAATACTGGCAGAAGGGGCATAAAGGAAAAAGTCATCTTTGTTAATCAGGCATTTTGGTTACTTGATTTTAATGAAAAACTGGATGTGCAAAGCTACATTTAAAGTTTCTAAGCAGTCTGCTGTCTTTGTGCATTTTTTCCCTTGGTCTATATGCATCAATTGTATGTTGCTATCTGTGGTATTTGACATAGAATATATGAGGGTCTTACTGCATAACATGCTCTATAGTAAAGTTCAAGATGATATAGGGCCAACACTTTTCCTTTTGAAAATGGCAGATAATGTTGAACTAAATTAATCAAATTTATGCTAGGTTGTGTGAAGATTTTAGGATCTTTGCTGTGTAAAAACTTTCCTGAATTTAGATCTGAATGACATCCAAATTTTTACCTTTTTTTCTGTGGAGTGATTTAGATGTTGAAGGGCCAAAGTTGTGTATTAAAAATAGTGTGGATAATGTATGAAGGAAATTAATCAAATTTATGCCAGTGGAGTAAGCAGATATTCTTGAAACGAGGAATTGTCGAACTGATATATAAATATTTTGAATGAAACATCAGGAGGAAATGGTGCAACTGGAGCAATTGCCGGAGGTGTAGCTGCTGGTGCTGCTCTACTATTTGCTGTTCCTGCCATTGCATTTGCCTGGTGGCGCCGTAGAAAGCCACAAGAATATTTCTTTGATGTACCAGGTTAGCAGTTTACACAGTGTCCAACCTTAAGTCCACAATTCCCTACCTACTTCCGCATGTGTCTCTGTTTTCTCTTGCATGTTATATTTTTCAGCTCCATATTACTATCTTTGCTTAATTTTATTGCAGCTGAAGAGGATCCCGAAGTTCACTTAGGTCAACTGAAAAGGTTCTCCCTCCGAGAGCTACAAGTTGCAACTGATAGTTTTAGCAACAAAAACATTTTGGGTCGAGGTGGATTTGGTAAGGTATACAAAGGACGCTTGGCAGATGGAACATTGGTGGCTGTTAAACGGCTAAAGGAGGAGCGTACCCCTGGAGGGGAGTTGCAATTTCAAACAGAAGTTGAGATGATTAGTATGGCTGTGCACAGAAATCTTCTACGACTGCGTGGCTTTTGTATGACACCAACTGAAAGGCTGCTTGTCTACCCCTATATGGCCAACGGAAGTGTTGCATCATGCCTGAGAGGTGATGCCTACTGAAATCTATTACTCTTTCAATTTATGTGTCTTAGTTTGACTAGGATTGGAGTTCAAGAAAAGTAAGGAAGACTTATAAATGTTGTGGTCATAAACTAAAGATATTTGTAATATACCAAAATGTCCCTTGAATCTTGTGTCTTAATTATACCATGTGGAATGTTGTAGTTAAAGGGTTACTAAATACTGAAAGAGGCACAGACAAAAAAAGCAAAGTAAGACATAAATTGAAACAGAGGGAGTAGTATCTGTGGGTGTTTTCTTTTTTAGTTCTGAAAGGCCAAGAACATCTTTCGCAGGATCAACATTTTATCTGCCGTAACTTTTTTTCTCTAACAAAATGTAAATCTTCTATGATCTATTCCTGTAACTTGGTAAAAGGCAGGAAATATTAGTTGTTATTCATCTTCTGAAAAAACTGTTTGTTTTCTAGAACGGCCACCATCTGAACCACCACTTGATTGGCCAACACGAAAACGCATTGCTCTGGGATCTGCGAGGGGATTATCTTATTTGCATGATCATTGTGACCCTAAGATTATCCATCGTGATGTGAAGGCTGCGAATATATTGCTAGATGAAGAATTTGAGGCTGTTGTTGGAGACTTTGGTTTGGCTAAACTTATGGATTACAAGGATACGCACGTTACTACGGCTGTGCGTGGTACAATTGGGCATATAGCTCCAGAATACCTTTCCACAGGGAAGTCTTCCGAAAAGACTGATGTTTTTGGGTATGGGATCATGCTTCTGGAGCTAATCACTGGCCAGAGGGCTTTCGATCTTGCTCGGCTTGCGAATGATGACGATGTCATGTTGCTAGACTGGGTACGTTGCACATGTCTGCTTTAAGTGAACGTGCACAGCACTCACTGTTTAATAAACCTTTCTGCCTTTGGCTGGAATCTTTATGTCTATAATCTGGACTTCAAACTAATGTTGCTGAGGTCCTTGTTTTCAGGTCAAAGGACTCCTTAAAGAGAAGAAACTGGAAATGCTGGTTGACCCTGATCTTCAGAACAAATATGTGGAGGCTGAGGTGGAGCAGCTGATCCAGGTAGCATTGCTTTGTACGCAAAGCAGCCCAATGGATCGTCCCAAGATGTCGGAAGTGGTGAGAATGCTTGAAGGAGATGGCTTGGCTGAAAGATGGGATGAGTGGCAGAAGGTAGAAGTTCTCCGCCAGGAGGTGGAACTTGCACCACATCCTGGTTCCGATTGGATTGTTGACTCAACAGAGAATTTACACGCAGTTGAATTATCGGGTCCAAGGTGACCCTTGTACCCAAGTAAAAAGGAAAGCAAATTGTTAGGAACTCTAATTTTGTTGATCTTGAAAGTTTTTCTTGTGAAATTTAATCAAAATCTCCTGTTCTAAGCCGTTAAGTGTATTTGTTACATTGTGCATATGAATTTGTACTGACAGGAACTCTAAATCTATGCCCTGACAAGTTGAACATAGGCGTAGTGGCTATATGCTTTAAAATTGTCAAACACAGAAGCTGTTAAACTGAGTCTTATTTCCAGTGACATTGGTAATGCAATCAATTTGACAGTTATTTACAAGATTTTGGCATTTTACAATCAAAGTATAAAAGCTCGTCACGTTCTCTTATGTCAACAAATATATGGTTGAAGGGTATTATCTAAGCAAAATATATAGTAATTGAGTAGAATGGGCACCTATTAGTATTGCAAATGCAAAGCTTGTCCTACAACTTTTTGCCTAAATTTGGGGCTCTTTCTGGCTATTCTGATAATTTCATGCAACACACTGACGCTTTAATATCAGAGTACAAGAAGACTCAGTAGTACATTGATCATGTAACTCGTTATTTTTTACTCCAAAGTAAATTTTTATGCAAATTCTTGAACTGCATACTCTTTAATATACAAGGATTCTTTGAATGTACTACATGCATAAGGGGGTAAAGAATTTTCAAAACTCACAACCAGCAAACAAACCAGAGCCAGCAGAAGGGGTAGAGAAATCCACTTCACTTGTCATGTCTGGACCTAATATTATCTTTGAATGACTGTGAACGAGAACTGGGATTAGAGCCATTTGCCGTAAACAAGTTAGGATATGAATAATATGTTTCATCGTCCAGGGAAGGCAATCTCTGTGGTTGGTGACGAGCAGTGCCCTGAGCAGGATGATTATTAGTGGACATGGAGGACTCAAAACCTACTGTTGCATCATCATATGAAGGAATATTTGACACCTGATGCTCCGATGCGCTGCCATGAAGTGGGCTGGGGATACCATCAGAGTTTGACAATTGATGTTGGAGGTCAAAAGGAGCCTTTTCTAAGATATGAGATTCCTGTTCCTTTTTCTCAGCATAAAAGGGGTTTTCGCTGGGGCTTCCAGGCACCTCTTCACTCCTTTTCCTGGTAAGCTCACTGATTCTAAACTGAGCAAGGCTAGCTGCTGAGCGAGCAGCAGCAGCTGCACGTTCAGCTGATTCAGCAGCTGCCTGGGCAGCAGCCAATACATCCTGCAAATCTATGTCAGTCTCAACTTTGGTCTTTGTAGTAGAGGGAGGTTGAGTACTTTGGGTTGTGGTACTTTTTGTTGATGAGAATGGAGATGATTTTGGCGGGGGAACCATGAATGGCAAAAACTGTTTCTCCTCTTCAGGTGCAGATAAAGTTTCAGGTGATCCTAAATCTTTTGAAACTACCTTCTCTTGCAAGACTTCATCTCGCTCCACATTTTGCTTGTGCGATTTGATCTCAGCATTTTCAGAAGGCTTAGCTATCTCCTCATCGGAGTCAGATAGTGCGGAGGCCGGGAAAGGAAACATTTCGGGGACTGAAACTCCACCGGTGCTAGGTCGTAGTGGCTGCTTAGGAACTTCTGGAAAATCTAACGAGTCAAATTCAGACTCAGATTCTGTTTGTTTATCAGAGACTTGTTCTGATGCAGGTTGCTGCAACTCATCAAACCTTTCCTTGGGAAGAGGGACCTTAGCCCCACTAACGAATTGTGTGGGGCCATTCTGCACAGCAGAGGGAAA